GAGAGAGAGAGAGAGAGAGAGAGAGAGAGAGAGAGAGAGAGAGAGAGAGAGAGAGAGAGAGAGAGAGAGACTCACCTCTCATAGTTGCCTCCGACGTCTGAAAATGAAGAAAAAATTCAAAAAAACACTTATCGACCATTAATGTTTGAGTAAGGCCCACAACAGTAATGAATGGCGGAAGAGAGGCAACAAGACGAAGTGTTCCTCGCCAACATGTACACAGTTTAATTGACAGATTTCCAACATAATTTCTTGCACTTAACTAATTCTCCATGATACCGCTTTACAAAGGTGATCAAATAGCACCACGATTATTATCCCTCAATCAAGTTGGCAGACCTGATAAGTTGCTGAAAGTCCAGTGAAACATGGCACATTCATGCTTTTTTTGTCGAGTTGTTGACACCTAACACACACGTACACACACACACACACACACACACACACACACACACACACACACACACACACACACACACACATACACATACACACAGACACACACATACACACACACACACACACACACATACACACATTGTAAGGCAGAGTTGTTTCAATTTGGATATACTCATCTGGGACACAGGTCTGTATTCAACAACACATTCATGCGAGTTTGCTCTCAAGCTTCAGCAAAGTGAAGCGAAGTCCTAGTGTGAGAATGTCCTGACAGTCGGCACAACAATGTTGACATTGGGGAAGATGGAGTGACTGCAACGACCTGCGGAAATTGGCAGAGAAAGTCCTAGACTAAGTATGAGTATGCGCTTGAGCTTCAAGAAAGCAATGTAGCTCACCGTCCCCCACAACTGAACGTAACCGACACACCAACTGACAACACACTCACACTAGCACTTTCCTAAATGTGTGTGACCGTGGTTATGGCCAGACTCCAAGAATCTGACTGACTGACGGTCACACTCACACAAACACTTTCCCACATGTATCCAACCACAGTTATGGCCAAACTCCATGAATCTGACTGCATGTGCTTGAGCTTTAGCGAAGTGGTCCTTGTGTTATCGTGACCTGAGATTCAGCGCAGAGAAGCTCACTTTGGGGGTAGAGGGGTGTGGGAGAGGGACGCGTAGCCCCCCTTTTCCCGCAGCTGAACATACCAACACATTGAACTCAGGTTTGCGTTCAGTATGTTCGTGTGAGTATGCCCGTGAGCTTCAGCAACACATTTGAACTTTGGTCTTCATTCAACATTAGCTTTTTGTGAGTACGCCCTTGAGGTTCAACAAAGTTTTAGTGTGAGTATGGCGTGAAATTCAGTACAACAAAGCTGACATTAGGGGTTGGGAGGTGCGGGAGACAGGGGGCCGACGGGGCCGTAGCCCCCCCCCCTTACAACTGAACATAGCCAACATGTTTGAAATGAGGTCTGTATTCAACAACAGATAAACTTGGGTCTGTACTTCAAAATTCATGGATGCATCGACATAAGAGCGCCCTCACGTTGACACTTTCCTAAATGTATCTGACTGTGATTACGGCTTGACTCCCAAGAACATGACTGCAATCACCTGCGAAATAGGCAAAAAAAGTCGTAGTGTGAGTATGCGCTTGAGCTTTAGAAAAGCAATGTCCTAGTGTGAGGATGCCCTGAGATTCAGCAAAGAGAACCTCAAATTGTGGGGGCGGGGGCATAGCCCCATTCCCCACAGCTGAACATAGCAGATGCATCCTAATTTGGGCCTATATCCAAAAGCGGCAGATTCATTTAAGTATGCCATTGAGCTTCATCAAAGCAAAGTCTTGCAGTCTTCCCCCGAACAAAACGCACGTTATGTACTATTCAACTTTCCCTAGAAAAGTCGATTTCTCGAAGTCACCCCCCGAAACTCAAATAGAACGCACATTTAAATAGTACGCACGTATGTTCTATTCGAATAGTACGCACATATGTTCTATTTGAACACGAGGGTGTTGTATTCAAACATGCGGGTGCTCTCTCTCTCTCTCTCTCTCTCTCTCTCTCTCTCTCTCTCTCTCTCTCTCTCTCTCTCTCTCTCTCTTTCTCTCTCTTTCTCTAGCTGTCTGTGTTTGTGTGCCTTGCGTGGAGCTCTTCTTGGTGGCTTACTGCGACGACGGGTGGAGGTCCTCTTAGCGGTTTACTGCGATGACGGATCATGGCGGCGTGACACATCTTGGCGGGTGATGGGTGGTGATGCTTCAAGACTGCATCGGTGTCGGACGAATCTGTTCGGATCTTGTGCACGGTTGTATTGGGGCCAATTATTTGAATGCTATGTACAATCAGGGCCTCGCTCCACTACTCTCCAAATGCAAAAAAAAAAAAAAAATGTGGGTATGTATAATTTCATTTTCAATGGTAAGATTCATTCACATTTTGCATATTTGGTGCGTAGTGGAAGATGGCCCCTCTATCAGGCCCCATGTGTGTGCGTGTGTGTGTGTGTATGTGTGTGTGTGTGTGTGTGTGTGTGTGTGTGTGTGCTTTCCCCTAATGTGGACCGTTTCTCGATTTTTTTTTTTCCTCGATTTGTGTGCGTGTGTGTGTTTTCCCCTAATGTGGATCGTTTCTCGATTCATGTGTGTCGTTCCAGTTTTAGCAGATACCCCGGAGACATTATCTGTTGAAAGGTAAGTGCACATACTTCATTTTTGGGGGGGGCCTGGTTCCCGAAGTTGGTGCCCAAATTTCGTAGGATAACGCACGTGCGTTGTAGACGAATACAACACACCCCATGTGCACTTTATTTTTGGGGGGGGCCTGGTTCCCTAAGTTGGTGCCCAAATTTCGTAGCATAACGCACGTGCGTTGTATACGAATACAACACACCCCGTGTGCTTTATTCATATAAAACGCACGTGATTTTTGTTCGGGGGAAGACTGTAGAATGGGTATGTCCTCGGATTCGGCATAACAAAGTTCACAGTAGGGGTGGATGACCAACTCATTCAAACTCAGGCCTATATTCCACCAAGGAAGTGTATTCAACAACAGACTCGAACTTCAGCGTGGTTATGGTAAGAGATCAAGTAACAAACACAACCCAAAGTCCCAACTCCACCGCAAAAATATAATTTCTCATTTCAAACTTCCTTTTTTTTCTCTTTTTTTCCCATTCGCCGAGCAGACCAGGCTAAAGCTCGTCGCCTACCTCCTGCATGCTTTTGAGTCCTTATCACCACAAAATGTTAACGGACTCAAAAAAAATAAAGCACAATTCACACTAGAATTGTCAAAAAATACAGACGCACATGGCTCATGTACCAGACGGCTTGACTCATGTACCAGATGAAGGCTAAAGCCTAAAGTCTCAACTTGTCTTCAAACTGTAACTGCAAGTCTCCAGACCCAACCTCGGGCCATAGCTACCGACCTTCACTCAGTTAGTGCACAATGCAATGTTGAAGCACCCTCCGGGCTGCGTCTCCGCATGGAACGCGGTATAACAGTGATGCATGATGTAGGGATCTCTCTCTCTCTCTCACTCACACACACGCACACTCACACACACACACACACACACACACACACACACACACACACACACACACTCACTCTCACATACACCCACACACACATTCTCATGATGGGGAGTGCCAAATCTGGAAACTGGGTCCAGCGTCCTATGAACATCGTGAATAAAGCACCAATCGGGACCCCACACACACGTGCATAAAGCACCAACCGGGACCCCACACACAGACTCTTCGAATTGTATATAGTGAACATGACAAAACATACACACAGCATAATCACTACCTTACCCTTCCCCAACCACATCAACAAACAAGCTACAGGATGCATACCCATGCCCTCACGGTAAGTCAATAGTTTTGTCTGCACGAGCATGCACGGATGAAAGGAAGAGAGCAACCCATTTGCCCCTTTTCCTTGGGGCCACCAGCTTTATCCCCTGTTGCACTACCTTACCTTCCCCGATTATTCGCAGCCCTAAGGCTGCAGTATAGTGGGCTTCGACGTCTGTGTCAAGGTGTCAGATTTTTGGCTGTGGGCGACCAGGACGCAAAGTGGGTTCTTAGGGGGGGGGGAAATTGGGGGGACTGTTCCTTGGCAAAATTGCGGACTACCTACAACTAGCTCTGGTCGAACCGGGACTTTTGGAAAAGACAGAACCGGTTCTCGAATGGAAGTGGACCCCAAAAAGAAGTGGGGGGTATTGGACCGGTCCTCGGGTGAAAGCGGACCCCAAAAGGAAGTGAGGGCATGTGAACTACAAAAAGGCCCTCAGGCCCAAGCGTTGAGGTCCGTCTTCTCAAAACAGGGAGGTCAGGCGTAACGAAACAAACGTTTTGCACAAGGCCACTTTGACAATTTTTTTTGTGCTCGGAGGAACTCGCACAAAAATATAAAATTTTGAGAATCCATAGATGAGGTCGTGTTCTTTCCAAGAAAAATATTATAACATTTTTAGAAAGTCATTTAGACCTCGAAATAATTGTCGCGCCGATTCGACACTTTTTTTTTTTTTTTTTTTTTTCAATCATCATTCAGGGTCAGGTCCTCTACCCCTTGGGTGATAAGAGCCCCAAAGGGTAAAAGTCGACAAGGTTCCAATGACTCCTTTTATTTGGTGGGGAGCTGCACCTACTCGAAACCGGGTCCAACATCCCTTCTAATGGAAACAACATCAGGTAACTTCTCCAAGTTAACTCTTTGTGCCATCAGCAACAAAATGGGACCTCTTCACCCTAAGGCGTATGAAATGAGTTAGCATCTAGTCTCACTATCCTTTGTACCCTGACTTGTAACAACCAATTATGTGGATCAAAAAGTTCCACAATTAGCTCGATAGGTGAAGACTAGCCCCTAGATAATTGACAACATAACTTGAGCAAGCCTATCCGCTTGGCAACAACAACCCATGATTCCATCAATAACATTTCCCGGAGCTTTGTGACCCCTCGGCGAAGGTTCAATGATTTCTCTGTTCAATGACTCGATGACGATTCAGTGATCTCTCTCTCTCTCTCTCTCTCTCTCTCTCTCTCTCTCTCTCTCTCTCTCTCTCTCTCTCTCTCTCTCTCTCTCTCTCGTACACACACACACGTACAAACACACATACACACACACAACATTCTCTCTTAGCACCAAGGAACTCTTTAATCTCGTCTCCTCCCCTACTGGTTACGCGCTTTATCAACATTGTCGTCGTCGCCCTCCTTCTGCGCACTGCCATTCATGCCGTTGGAATCTTTGAAATCCACTATCTTGACTTCGCTTCTCTTTTTATCCCAGTAGATTGTACCGCCCAGATCCCTTTCTTCATTCCCGATCTTCTGATTCCAACAATTCATATCACCATTGTCCTCGTCATCATCATCATCGTCATCATCATCATCATCATCATCATTTTGAGATGATTCCAATGATTCATTATCACCCTCATTATTACCATTCCGGGTCTTCTGATTCCAAAGAGTCATATCACTATTATCCTCATCAGCATCACTCTCATCATCATTAATATCATCATCATCCTCATTATCATGATTGTATCCCCCTGAACTGTGAGTATTATCCCATTTGTTCCTCAGATCCACATCATTCGCTCTCAATACCTTACCATCACCTTTTTGAGGTTGATGGCACTGCCCTATCACATAGACCCGTCCTAGTTCACACCCACAGTTCAAGCACCACACGTTCAACGCCATCAGAATGCCTCCGCCGTTTCGTCAGGATATCGTAGAATGTTCCTCATTGTCGCTGATTCTCACGTTCGTTCTTCTAGGTTCAATGAAACAGAGAACGTGCCATGCTGTCTTGAAAACTTTCAACAATGATTCTAAACCTAGATATTTGAACGATACCAACCTAAAAGAGGAAAGTTACCGCCCTGTTAGAACTTAGGTGATTCGACATGAGAGGATTCTAGAGACGAATTGGGACAATCACGGATTGAGGGTGAGTAGAACGCTCCGCAAACTGCCCAAAATCGAAAGCCAACGCAAACGTGATACAACTATCATAATGACATTCGTTCCAGAAATGGAAAAATTACCTCCTGTGTCATTTTTTGGAAAATTAGTAGTCTCGATGCCGCCTTGGTTCTTATATCTCTGCTTTTACCTTGTCACATAGTGAGGAACACGAACCACCTTTTGACCAGATACGTTGCGCCAGAAGGTGGGATCAGCTCCTGTCAAACCCTGCTCATGCCCTATATACCTACTCGTGTCCAATTGTTATCTCTCTTTATCTCCGCACCCGTCTCTTTGTCCCTCCACAATTACTTCCCCCTCTGAACCTGACCTTCATCTGCAATATCCTGTATCGAACGGACAAAGAACATTCCACTGTATGTGTTCTCCTCTTCTGCGTTCAAGTACAAAGAGAAAGGAAAACACGAGGGATATTCCCGTACTTTCCTCTACTCACAACCCTAGGGGTTAAAAAACTTTCCTCATTTTCGCTCGCTGCTTGTGAGTTGCTCCGGTTCCCCGCAGCGAGATCACCAGACAAAAGAGTATGGAGAAAATACACTAGATCAAGAATACTCCGGTGGAAGGACGCTTAATACCGACGTTCTTTGATTCGTACACGCTCATATAGTTTATAGACAATCAATCTTATGGCTATGGTATGGTCGGCTTCTGGTGAATACGACTGTCTCGCCCGATACCTCCCCTCCTTCTAGGGTATGGACAAGCTTTATTCCTCTTGCTCGACCTCCATGGTCGACACTAAGGAAACCACCTACCCCGTGCTATGCGCTCCGGGCCATGGTGGGTGAGCCCCGCGTACGTGAGAAACCCTACGGTAGATGCGCTAAGTGTCACCAACATTGAATACTACAGCGTCGCCGTATGGTTCGTCCTCTCTCCGACACATTTTTCATTGCCACTCAGCCATGTGTGGGCCAACTGAAAAAATACTCCAACTTCAGTGAGCTTTCTCGCTTAGAAGAATGCGTGAAAAAACCTTAAAATTGGAGTACTTGTAGATTTTGTTGTGATATTTCTTGGAAAAACTCTAAATAAATTTAAAAGAATCATCTCAACTGTGAAATAGATCGCGGCCGCAATTGGACCCATACTTCAATTTTGCCATTCAGCCTCTCTCTCTCTCTCTCTCTCTCTCTCTCTCTCTCTCTCTCTCTCTCTCTCTCTCTCTCT